CCAGCTGAACTGTGACGTTTACACTGGTTGCTTTGACGTCATAGGTAGGATACTTCCCAATCAACAAATTATTCTCTAATTCCCACCACGTATTGACAGTGGCGACTCAGAAGCCATAACCGCACCTGTTTTACGGCTTCACTGCTCCAAATAAATCCACCAATTCAACAGCACACTGAAACTTTCAGGCGAGCTGATTTGAAGTGGGTAATTATGTTAAAGCGCGGTGGTCGTCGTGCAGCGCGTGTTCGAATTTCACGTAAATAAACAATGTATTTTACGCGCGTTGTATACGTCGCTATGAGTCCCATATCGAACAGAACGCGGCGTGACGACTGCCGCCCTTTAAGTAACACTGTGGCTCGTCTCTCATTACTGTAAGGAATCACCAGCTGCAACGCGGGAGCTGATTGGATATTCGCACTGTCGATCACTTGACCGGTGCATAATGACAAATTGAAGTTAGCTGTTCAATCTAACGAATTTAAAGACAATAATTTGTAGATGTTAATTTTTTAAGTTCTTTTTTTTACTGACGATCGTCCCCAGTACGTCTTTGCACTATTTAGTTATTTGGAGAATTAATTGTATTTCGAATAAGTATGATTTGTCGTGAAACAATCTCTTCAGTTTTACGTATTTCATTGAACGACTAGTATTATATATATATATATATATACGGTAAAATAATTACCAATTACCGCTTTACGACTATTTTTTTCGTGGTTGTCCTTTTTATTTATTTATTCTGAAATTTCTCTGACATGCATAGACTGATTTTGTTTGTACGTAGACAAGTCATAATATGATACATATATACGCCGATTTGTTTTTTGTTTCGTTTGCCAGATTATTGGAATCCATTTTAGTCTCAAGAAACAACATTTGAACCTACCATCAACCACTCTCATTCCCTTGAAACTTGGCATTGACATCACTGATACACGTCATTTTGTTCAGTGACTTGATTCAAAATGACCGACTTATGTCCATTTTTTTTCAAGTTCAGAAAGCCATGATACTTCTTGAAAGAATTAAAGACCAGAATGTGAAAGACAAGCTGAAAGAGAGAACAGAGTCATGAGGAAAATGTTCTACCCGTTTCTGAGATACACTTATACAAATGTTGTTCAAATTTGGTACAAATGTGTGACATAATGTATAGTTCGTTCTCCTCAGTTATTTTAAGATTTTTTATGAAACTTATCTGACAGCCTGGGGTTACTTAAAATTGTTTTAGCAGGTATTGTGTCTACTGTTAAACCAAATAAAATTACTATTATTGCGACAGAAAATTACTTCAAAATATTATGCCCTTCAAATATTCAGCAAATGTTCACAAGAGTGCAACACCTATAGCATTCTGGGTAATTCGCGGAGATTCTTTCTCCGATACAACTCGTATTCACGGTATATTAAAGGTCGTTTGCTGGTATAAAAATGGATATTTAGAATTCTATAATTTTTATAGCATAGTGCTATTTTATGTTGTTGTTTACAGCATTGATAAAAACATATGGTCCCGACGGAACTACTTTTCTATGTGGGAAAGATCTCGTCATATCTGCAATTATTATACATCTGACCGTACTGCCTTCATGCATACATTGCGGTATTCTCGTAATAAACTCATATCGTTCGGCGACATATAGTGAACGAATGTTAAATCGTTTAAAGCGGGAGGAGGTCCCAAGCGACGATAACACACGCTAAAAACGCAAAGACTCATGGGTAGACGCTTGTTTGTAAACAATGACAAGCTATGGCCATCTGACCCATGCGCAGGTGACGACTCCCCCGCTTTAAAGATGGGTTATTGTCACGAAAGTTGAAAATTGAAAGTATAATGTCTGACTGAATATTTACTAGTGACTGGCAACAACAACACGTTGCTTGACGGAGTTTTGAGATGAGCTGCTACGACGTTATTGGTCAGAATGTTATTTGATTGACGCGCGCAGAACTCAATGGAAAGGTGAATTGATCTTCAAACCATCACCATTTCTACACAATGCCTTTAAAAGAATATTGTGATTGATTTAATATCAATTTAAATTTTGTACTTTTCTCTGTGACTATATTTACTACAATTATCATTCGTGGTGCATGATGGAAGCATTGAAACTTTACTACAATTTTAAAATAATTAAATTAATAACAGATCAAGTTGTCACTGTTGTCATATTGAGTTAAATCGAACGGAGTTCTGAAAGGGTAAGGTTCGAATAGTTTAAATATGTTACTACATATTTTAACGTAGAGAGAGAGCCGCGGAATCTTTTGTATCCCCTATCCGTCGAATGGTCCGTCCCATCTCTTAATCGTGAAGCGTCAGTGAGGCCATTTTATTTCCAGCCTAGCAACAGTCATACCACTGCCTCCAGCACCAGTTGCTATGCCAAGCGTTTAGATCCATCTAAGAAAGTGATGAGTGCATTATCACCAAGTTTGAAGTCGCAGCACTTTCAACTTATTAATATATTTTTCCCCGTGTTAATGAACGGTGGAAAATTCATAGCATATTTTTCTCTGTGGTGCAGAAGGCAAACACCCTCCTAGAGTTACACTACCGACGTCAAAAGTGGACTATGCCGCGATGGATTGTGGGTAATTGTTAGGGGCGCATGGGATATCTACGCTGTCGTTCAGAGACGATCGGATCTCGCTAGAATATAGCGTAATACATCCCCGGTAAGTACCATTATCCGGATTAGTCATTGCGTGAATCATTGGTGTGTAAGTATGTGATTATTTGGTTAATATCGCTGGATAGTTGCAGTAAGTTACGTCGTTTCCTCACCCTTGCACGGTCTGGCCGAGTATGTGTTGTACTGCTTGCAACCATAAGTTAGTGCGCGTTCCTCAAATTCTTATCTGCATTCTTCTACTAGTCTTCAGATAATTTCCATCGTGTTTTTTTTTGCGATTTTCCTCAACTTTGTTTGATGCGACTGCCCAATTAGTTTGTTTTCTTAACCTGGGCGTCTTCAGATGTTTGCGCACATTTGCAAATAGAGTGTTGTTTACCTAACACCTTACTTACGATAAGACATTCCGCCACTTAAACTCCATTTAAACACGCGCAAAACGGAAGCAAGTAACGATATCATTAGAGAGCTTAGAAATATTTTAATTAATACAAGCGATATATGATTGAAAACAGCTGAGGTCAAGATCGATGCAACACAGTTTCTCCAGACAAAGCTGTGTGCACAAATAAAGGGCCTCCGCAGTGTGGATATTACGTGCACACATCATGTTCCAGTAAGCGATGTCTTTGTTTTAACTGGTGTATCTTTGTTATTATAGTAATTGATGGCTACTTCGTAGGTGATGATAGGGATGTTGTTTATTTTATTAGACAGTTTTAATAATACTGTGCGGCGACACGCTTCCGTCTTATAGACGTATTTTTGGCTCACGATTCTTTCTCGCACAGACCGGACACATTCGCTGCCTGATTTACGCCGTACATCGACGGGCCTCTACAGGACAGTCGCATCGACATTCTACAGTTGCATTAAACAATTAGTGTTAGTTTTCGACACCATCTACCACATTCACATATTCGACCGGCGGCGATTGTGAAAACATCCACATTTTACGATTCAAATATTTTAAGGACTGTGTTTTAATGTCAAGTACTTTCTTTATTATCTGCAAAAATTACATCATTAATGGTAAAGAGAGCACTTTGATCCTAAGAAAAACAACCTGTAATGGCTACAAAACTGCGTACCAGTGTTGCGATGTTATGATGCGAAATTTCCAGATCAACAGATCGCCGCGTGACTTGACGCCGCCACCCCTAAATCTAGAATGGTATTTCCCTTGGGACTGACATTATGTTGAAAATAGTCATGGTTGTCAAAGACGCGTGTGTCACATATTATATCTAATGTTGCATACGTGCACAGTGACTTTACTGACATTGCCTTAAATATCAACTATCGACTCAAACCCAGGTGGTATACACTCAGCGCAACAAAGGCATTCCCTTCATCTTTAAAAATATGATGTACAAATTTTAATTTGAACCGTGACGAATCAACCAGCCAATCAATGAGCACATCTACGTCATCTAAAAACTTTCCAATGTTTTTCAATCAGCCATTTCAGTTAAAATCACGAAAATTATAAATATTTACAAAGATAAAGGGAATGGCTTTGTTGCTATGAGAATATGTATGACGTATTTTTCATAAACGTTTACTTCGTGCAGTGTTTATTTTGAGGAAAAATCTATGTATATAAATATACGCGAAATCTCCGAATATTAAACATTTTACACTTTTTATTCAAGAGACTGCGTATTTTATACAGTGTTCAGTGCATTACATGTTATTTATTTTCGCACATGTAGCTGAAAAAAAACCTTAATCTTAAAAGTCTCAAATTTGAACTTGAAAAGTGTGTTACCGATTTAACTTTAATACGAGGTCGCCGTACTAGATATTAATGTGTCCACGTCATCAAATTGAGACTGCAAGTAAGTTTACATACTTGTGGCATGCGAAGTATTAACAAGTGTCCAATCACATATTTCGAATTTACGGCACAGTTCATTTAAACGCAGTGGCCATTTATATTAAGCCATAGACTTTTTCTAGAGTCTAGGGTTAAACTCGCACATACAATTCTGTTTACAATATATAAAATTCCTTTCCCTTCATCTTATTATGCCAATGAAAATTGAAACCAACCAGCCAATCAACGAGCGCATTACGCAATGACGTCATTTGAAAACGTTCTAATTTTATGCAATTGGCAAATAGAATCTTCTCGTTTCAGTTCGAATTGACAGATTTATAATTATTTATCAAGATGACGGAAACCGGTTTGTTGTACCGAGAGTACAGTACGACATTATATAGCACTGACTTGTACATCCACAGGCAGTCTCGTAAACACGGGTAATTGTAATGTGATGGGAACACTTGAGATATATCCCGTAGAGAAGCATAGATGGCCTCTATGTAGTGATTTATGTAAGACTGTAAACCTCCGTCAACGACTGAGTGCAAAGTGCAGACTTTTTTGTTGTTTTTGGTCAATGTTTCATTACTGATATATTCTATACTATTTAGTACGCCTATCCCAATAACTTTGTCACCCATGTTCGTGGTAAACACGCAGAGACTGAGGCTCTAGAGACTGTTACCTAACTTGTTAGGTAATTATCATTACATCGCGACAAATAAGTGACCACTGAAAGCGACGGAATTAAAGAAATTACGTGCAATGCACAAGCACCTGTTATCACTCCATCACATACCATCACATGGGCTGGAATGACAGATCCATCGATCGGTTTGAAACATTTCCATGTGTAGCATGTTTTAGCTCCGCCGTTGACTTCGTCCGTCGATGTCTGCCCTCGTCAACTCTTTTACGGCATGCGCGTCTATTTTTTACATTTTCAACTACTTCCTGAAAAGTGCAAGTCCTATTGCTTTGATGCTTATGTATATGTATATGTACCTCGGATGGACCTTTCTCAGATTTCTTCATTCTTTGACGATATCTTCAATTTTTACGATTTTGTCTTTGATATTTATATATATGTACCTCGGGGAGCTCACTCGGATTTATTCGTTTAGTGATGATATCTTCAACTTTCTTATTTTAATGAACTCTTTGTATTTTGAAAACCGCTAGTCCAATTGCTTTATTTTTGTATGTGTAGTTTCCTCGACTAAACTTACCTAAGACTTGTTCCTTTCCTGACTATATTTTCTCTAATTTTGGTGAATATTTTTGTCATTAGTCCGATTGCATAATTCTCTAATTTTGGTGAATCTTTTTGTCATAAAAATGGGCTTTTTGACTTCTTCTTGAGAACTGCTAGTCCGATTGCCTGAATACGTGACCATCACATGATGGTTATATACGAGAATTTAAAACAATCTAGTTCCAGTAAATAAACACATGCAACAGCGGAGCTTTCTCGACTTACATGCCACTTGTTATTAGGCATTCTGATTAAAATAAGATCCTAGGTAGGGCCTTTTTTCATATATTTTATTGTATTCGAATTTATTTAAAAAAAACAATACCAACAAATAAATTCACATGAAATAAAATATATGAAAAAAGGGCCCTACATAGGATCTTATTTTAATCACATTGGTTACTAGATCAGGTTGCCAGTCGTGATTTATTTCACAGTGAAGGTAGCGTTATTGGTCGTCGCGCAGCGCGTGTTCGAATTTCAAGTAAACAACACGCGTTGTGTACTGACGTCACTATGAGTTCCATATCGAACACGACGCGGTTCGACGACCACCGCCCTTTAAATATTATATATTATATATGTATTGTTTTTGACGACTTTAACAATATAGTAGCGGATGCAAAACTGTTTAATTTCAAGATTGGATGCATTAAGGCCGGTTTACATATTTATTTAACCTTATTTATTTTACTGATTCTGAGTTATCTAATTCAGTTTGGGTAATCAAAATAATCTGATGAAATAAACCTGTCGATTCCCCCCCCAAAGGGGGGGGGGGTGAAAAAAATGAGCAGATATGAGATTTATTTGAACAGCTAAATCTGATCAGATAAATTTGATCATGTAAACCGGTTGTTACCGGTTGTCCTATAATGTCTCACTCATAACCTTTATATGAAAGGCCACATTCGGTCGCGCTTCACGCATTTATGTGGCACACAAAACATAACAACACGTTTAAAAGGTTAATTTATTAAATACACGAAGCTGAATTATGATTGATCCATTGCATGAACTCATTGACCTGTACCACAGGAAAATTTACTATGATGCCTCAACTTGTCATTTTCAATTATCAGCATTCTGAATCTCAATACCGTCCGTATTGCCTGAGACACGTCTGGTGTGGTTGTTTTTTTGTGGCAATGGTTATTCACTATTAATCTATTTTGACGTGTGTGATCGTATGCCGGCGTCACCCAGACAATTTTGTTGTTATCTGAAAACGTCCGAATTCGTCAATTTTAAAATCCCTATCCCTTATGATAATCATCGGCGACGCTTGGGTTTCCTAGATTGCATGTTTTGGATAATGCCCTACGGGCGGACAATATCTAAATAACGTACTGGATGACTATCGGAAATTGTTTACATAATTCTCCACAGGCTGCAGGAATTAGATAGCGTACGTGATGTAAAAACAACTACAGCAGGGTTACAGGATCGCATGTTTGTACCTGTTTAAACAAGAAAGCATTTTACATTCGTGATACATTTCTTTCATTAACATAATATTATCGTTGTTTTATCAGACAACTAAGGTCAATATACTATAAGTACAGCATGCACCCGAAGACATTATTTTGTATAATTGCGTTTGGATTGTTAATATAATCCGATAACATTTGTGCGGTGTCGATTTCTTGTGAACGTGTACGAGAGTTGGCTGATGTCCACGTAGTCGTAATACACTGAACGCCGAGTTTTGGAGGTTCGGATGATGTAAACTTTGACCAACACCCATTTTTCACGCAATTTCTTCAGGCATACCTATTTTACTGCTGTGCGACATGCAAAGAACGGGCGCACGATACTTTTTACTACGTCATCATTACCACATCGCATTATGGGAAATGCGTGTACGAATAATCGACTGTGTATCGGGAGCCATCTAAATTCCATTCATGTTTAATATGACGTCATTTCTATGAAGGGAAATGGTCGCCCGAGCGTGAAAAATGATGACGTATATATTACGCATTTCAAAGCATGCATACGCATTTTTATGCATGAAGCATATACAACATGTAAAGGGTATAATTACCTCTTGGGTGATGACAAGTTTGAATAAATTAAATCTGTACAGGAAACACATTCTGAAAATAGTTATAAAACACAACTGTGTAACTAAGTATAGAAAAAATATAGTTGATACAGATAAAAAAAAAACCTTGCTCGAACACGTGATTAGAGAAACATATTTTGCATAGTTATCCCTTCCATATTGTGATTTACAAAGATTGTATTTCAGATGAATCATTAACGCGAACACGTCTAAATATACAACAAAACAAATATTAAATAACATTAACAACTCACATGTATATTCCTATGCCCAGGTACTAGGAAGACAAAAATAAATTTATCACATTATAATGACTTTTAACACACAAAGTTATCAAAATAAAACTATCCTCACCAATTATCATAGTAAATTTTCAAAATGTCCGTAATACAATTTTTTGTGGCTTCAATATTTGGGGAACTTTGTTGTCCACTTAACATCAAATTTATATATAAACATATATGTTACATTGTGGTGTGTTTTCCATGTATTAATAATTGTATAAATATGACCTGCGATTTATTTGATGTGTATAGCGCGACAACCCCTGTCCCTGTGGCTTGGATTGTTGGGTTGCTCAACATTATGTCGGTAACTGTTATCTGCTGTGATAACCGAAGTTTCTGTAGAATATTTGGTTACCCATGGCTTATAATGGAACACAGTGCGTCTATAATAGCCTTGTCTCGACCTTACTTGATTTCTCGGTGTTGCGTCAGTAACCGTTATCTACTGTGAAGTGGAATATTAAGTTACAAACTGTTCATTGCACATAGTGAGGTTATTGGTGATTTGGCTAGGTCTGATTCTTGTTTGACTTTCAATAAAACCTGGGTAATATTAATCAACTGTTCTGTACATTGCATAAGGATAACTATTCACTAGATTTAAAGCGGGGGAGTCGTCACTTACGCATGCGTCAGGTGGTCATGCATAGCGTGTTATTTTTTTTTTTTTTACAAACAAGCGTCTACCCATGAGCCTTTGCGTGCTTAGTTTGTGTTGTTATTATCGCTTGGGACTCAATTCCCGCGCGTGCGCAGGTGACGACCCTCCCGCTTTTATATTTTGATGTTGCTGGGATATTTCTTATATTTTCATTTCACAGGTTTGTAAAGTAACCAATACATTCTATCAATATATATCAATGACAATAAACTCCAACCAGTAATTAGGCTACATACAGTAGTGTGTAAAGATTAATATTTTTTCCTAAATATACCATATTACTTATATATTTTTTTTCTGATGACTTTGAAACTTCGATATATTAAGACTTGCTTTAGGTTGATTGTTACTGTGAGGTGTTGAGTCAGAAACACACGAAACATAAGGACCTAGAGACAGTTCACTATTTATTTAAAGGGCGGCGGTCGTTGCGCAGCGCGTGTTCGAAGTTCAACAATACACGCGTTGAGTATGCGGCCACGAGTGCCACATCCAACAATACGTGGCACGACGACCACCCCCCCCCCCTTTCATTTTCATTCCACCATTCATGTACTACCGCAATGGCATCAGTTTTTTAAATATCAATACACTCAGGTGATTAGATGACGTATAACACCATTGCAAAGTATATTAATTGAACAGAATTAAAAGAAAATAAAGCCTGAACATTCATTGGACTATAATCAAATTTGGTCATACACTATGCATACACATCCTAAAAGCAGTCTCCATATAATACATGTAGCTTCCCGGAGATTCATGTATCTTTCTCTCACTACCGTAGCAGAGGTCCTCTGGAGTATCCATGCAAGGATTGGAACAAGTTTGTTGTTGTTTGATACTGTTACAGCTTATCCATATAATTATTTTCATATTTCTTATCTAATTGCAGATTTCGACAGATGACAGAGTAGTTATCCCAACTAATATTGAAATACTACCCGTGGTGCGCATAAAGATGCTTGTAACACCAATCCAGGCAAGAGAAAGGAGTATAGCTGAACTCACGGGTTATTTACCTGCCAAAGGTACCAGGATGTACGTCAGACAACGCCAGCATGATCCAGACTTCCGGGATCAATCATATGAAGAATGTCTATCACCAGAAGACATGTCCCCAACAGAGATTGAACCTGTTCCTCGATTGAGTACAATACAAGCAAGTCCTGGAAAGACTCTGTTGGACCAGTACGTAGATACCGGGCTTGTTGAATTGCCTTCGACTATGAAGCCATGGTCATCACCATGGGCCGTAGCACAGGACCAGCCAGCTCCAGCCAAGAGTTACAGCCATGTTATGACGAAGTACCGCAATCCCCATCAAGAAAATGGTGTAACTAACACGTTTAGACGCACTGGTTCCGAAAAGCATCGCCGTTCAAAGTCCCCGCCTGCTTCTATAGTTAAAAGTCGTGAGCTTGTCATCCAGTCTTCTGGAAAAAAGGCACGTGGTGCCGTGATGTTTGACCGATTGAAGAAAAGATCTGAAGCATTTGTTATAGATGAAACAAATGTAGCTAATCCTACTCACTACTATTCGCAGAAAAGGATGAATATGTTACAGCAAACACGTCAAAGATCTGCCTCTCCCCCACCTCACATTGGTACTGGCTACTACCCAACTCCACAAACAATAACTCATGTGGATGCACATAGGTCCAAGCCCAGAGATAGGAAGACACCATGGCAAGCTGCAGAAGAGAATCCAGTTGGATCAGTCGAGAGTGCATTCATGCCTTCTAAAAAGCCAATTGATCTGATGCTGGCCAGCAACCTGAAAACAGCAGCACGCACCAAAGCTGAGCGGGATGAAGCATACCAACCCTGGGTAAGAACGACCCCCGATGAACCAAGCAGTGGCCATGTGAGTTTCAATCTTCCACCAAGGATCACATCGGCACCCCGTTTACGACTAGGTGCAACACCATATGTGAATGATTTCAATGTCAAGCCACAAGGCTGGTGTGGATCCTATGAAGATACGACACATTCAGATGTAACGGAATACCATACACTGCCAAGAACGCGCCACTCAAAACAAATTGCCCGTGACTATAATTCAAGACCGAAATCCTGGAATCCCAATTACTTTGATGATCAGCAACACGATGTACAAGACCACGGGGATTTTTACCATCATGATGAATATGAAGAACAGGCTTCCCCCGAACAAGAGCACCTGAAACCAGTGAGAATGACAGCAAGAAAGTTTAACACGCCTAACCATGCTCATCGTCGTTCAAGGTCTGTTAAGCCAGTATGTGGTCCGAAAATCTGGAATCCTAAATCAGTAGACGAAACTGATGATTTATGAAGCTTGTAGTAAATAGAGACACAAATCAAATTGCTTGAACATGAGCATAATAACACCTATGTAAATGCAGACTCGATATCAAACAAACCGTATGGCAGATAATTACTTTTACTTAACTTCTCTCTTTGCTGTGTGTTCTCTCTCTCAAATACCTGTCTTTCTTTTAATTCTCTAATATCTTTTCTTTTCTTTTTTCTTTTTCCTCTCTTATCCTCATTTATTCCAACTCTACTTTACTTTGAAAATATGTACTATCTCATCTGTCTTCTCTTTCTTGTAATTTATCTTTACTTTTGACCGTCTACTCTACTCTACTCTACTCTACTCTACTCTACTCTACTCTACTCTACTCTACTCTACTCTACTCTACTCTACTCTACTCACTCACTCCTACTCTACTCTACTCTACTCTACTCTACTCTACTCTACTCTACTCTACTCTACTCTACTCCACTCCACTCCACTCCACTCCACCCCACCCCACTCCACTCCACTCCACTCCACTCCACTCCACTCCACTCCACTCCACTCCACTCCACTCCACTCCACTCTACTCTACTCTACT